GGAAACATTACCTCGGCAAATCCAAAGACTCTTCAGGAGGCAATAGACATTGCCACCAAACTCACGAATAATGCGATTCGGTCAGGAGAATTTGCCAAGGGGAAAAGAATGATGGAGGAGCATGTTAATCGAGGGTCTGGGGGAAAGTATGACAAGAATAGGAGGGTAATAGAAAATTTTGGGGCACAAACTCAGGCTGTAACTCAAGGAGGTGCGACTAAGTGTAATAGATGCAAATATCCATATCGGGGGAATTGCATGATTTGTCAAAGATGTCACCAAGGGGGTCATACAGCGAAGGCCTGCCGAAGGCGATTATGCTTCGAATGTGCAGCCCAGAACATATGCGGAATGTATGCCCAAAGAGGAAACAAAGAACAAATGCAAGTCAAGCCCGACCAACCAGTCAAGGAAACTTAGAGGGTCAGGCACGGGGCAGAGTGTTTGAGATCGGAGCTAAAGAAGCTAGATATGATCCCAATGTGGTTTCAGGTACGTTTCTTCTGAATAATGAATTTGCATCAGTTTTATTTGATTCAGGGGCAGATAGGAGTTTCGTATCACTAGACTTTGAGCCTAAGATTAGCATAAGGCCTCAAAGGTTGGAAGAAGCTTACGTAATTGAGTTTGCTAATGGCCAAGAAATTAAGGCTAAGGACATAATTAAGGATTGCATTCTAAGTTTAGCCAATAAGAATTTCAGCATAGACCTTATACCGATTGAATTAGGAAGTTTTGACATAGTAATCGGCATGGATTGGTTATCCAAAAATCAAGCTGAGATTGTCAGTTCAGAAAAGACTATCTAGATTCCTCAAGATGGAATTGACACAATTGTAATTCAAGGAGACAAGTCAGAACGAAAAATTAAGATAGTATCTTGCATGAAGATGCGAAGGTACTTGAAGAAGAATTGCGCTGAATTTCTGGCACATGTGATTGATGGGAAGGTCAAGGAGAAAAGTATTGAAAATTTCCCTGTAGTTCGGGAGTTTTCTGATGTATTTCCTGAGGATTTACCAGGACTACCCCCGCAAAGACAAGTCGAATTCGGTATCGACTTAATTCCTGGAGCTGCCCCAGTGGCAAAGGCACCATATCGCTTGGCACCATSGGAGATGCAAGAAATGTCGAATCAACTCCAGGAGTTATTAGATAGGGGATTTATAAAACCAAGTTACTAACCCTGGGGTGCACCGGTTCTGTTCGTTAAAAATAAAGATGGGTCAATGCGAATGTGCATATATTATAGGGAACTTAATAAGTTGACCATCAAGAACAGATACCCTCTCCCTAGGATCGATGATCTGTTTAATCAACTTCAAGGAGCGGTATATTTTTCCAAGATCGACCTACGATCTGGATACCACCAAGTGAGAGTTCGGGAAGAGGACATTCCTAAAACAAACTTCAGAACTCGTTACGGCCATTACGAATTTCTGGTTATACCATTTGGGTTAACCAATGCACCGGCTGTCTTCATGGACCTAATGAATAGAGTCTGTAGACCATATCTGGATAAATTTTAATCGTCTTCATAGATGACATATTAATTTATTCACGTAGCAGGGAGGACCATGAGCAACATCTGAGGATAATATTGAAGCTACTTCGAGACCAGAAATTGTACGCAAAATTTTCTAAATGCGAATTCTGGATACATGAAGTACAATTTCTTGGTCATATAGTCAATGAAAAAGGGATTCAGGTAGATCCTGCCAAGATTGAGGCTATTTGGAAATGGGAACCCCAAGAACCCCTACGGAAATCCATCAATTCCTTGGTTTGGCAGGTTATTATCGGCGATTCATCGCGAACTTTTCGAAAATTGCACAACCACTCACAGCCTTAACCCAGAAGGACAAGAAATTTGTTTGGGGTGAGAAACAAGAAGAAGCGTTTGAGACTCTTAAGCAGAGACTATGCAATGCACCTATTTTATCCTTACCAGAGGGTTCGGAAAACTTTGTGGTCTATTGCGATGCATCGCATCAAGGCTTAGGATGCGTGCTAATGCAAAAATACAAGGTCATTGCGTATGCCTCAAGGCAACTTAAAGTGCATGAGAAGAATTATACTACACAAGACCTTGAATTGGGGGCGGTAGTATTCACACTTAAGATTTGGAGACACTATCTTTACGGCACCAAATGCATCATTTTCACTGATCATAAAACCCTTCAACATATACTAGATCAAAAGATGCTGAACATGAGGCAACGGAGGTGGGTCGAACTTCTCAATGATTATGATTGCGAAATAAAGTATCACCCAGGGAAAGCTAATGTGGTAGCAGACGCCTTAAGTCGGAAAGAAAGGGTGAAACCGTCAAGGGCACAAGTCATGGGAATGTTGGTTCAAACCAACCTAAAAACGCAAATTCTTCAAGCACAAGAAGAGGCGTTGAAACCGAAGAATCTGAAGAACGAAACCTTCCATCACTTAGAAAAGGGATTTGAAATTCGAGAAGATGGGGTGCGTTATTTCAGAAATAGAGTTTGGATACCAAGGAACGACAGTCTTCGGTCAACAATCCTAGAGGAAGCACATCGCTCTAGATACTCTATTCACCCAGGATCTGATAAGATGTACAAAGGGCTAAAAGATTATTATTGGTTGCCAGGAATGAAAAAGGACGTTGCTTTGTACGTAAGTCGATGTTTAACCTGCGCAAGGGTAAAAGCCGAACATCAGAAACCATCTGGTCTCCTTCAGCAACCTGAGATTCCCCAATGGAAGTGGGATCAGATATCCATGGATTTTGTTACAAAGTTACCTAGAACCAGGAAAGGATATGACTCAATTTGGGTCATAGTGGATCGAGTTACGAAATCCGCAGACTTTTTACCTATTCGAGAAGATTTTAGTACAGAAAGGCTTGCGCAGTTGTATATCAATGAAATCGTATCGCGACATGGAGTACCTATTTCCATCATATCAGACACAGATAGTCGTTTTACTTCGCGATTATGGCAATCAGTTCAAAAGGCACTAGGCACAAGGCTGGACTTGAGCACTTCCTATCATCCTCAGACCGATGGGCAAACAGAAAGAACAATCCAAACGCTGGAGAATATGTTACGGGCCTGTGTAATAGATTTTGGAGGTAGTTGGGATACTCATCTGCCATTGGTTGAATTCTCTTACAACAATGAATATCACACCATTATCCAGTGCGCACCATATGAAGCCTTGTATGGGCGTAAGTGTAGATCCCCACTCAGCTGGTTGGAGATTGGTGACAGACAGCTAACTAGGCCTGACATTATCCAGGAGACAACTGACAAAATTTCAATCATTCAGGAAAGGCTTAAAGCTGTGAGAGATCGTCAGAAGAGCTACGATGATAATAGAAGAAAACCATTGGAATTTCAAGTGGGTGATAAAGTCTTTTTAAAGGTATCTCCCTGGAAAGGGATTGTACGTTTCAGAAAGAAAGGGAAGCTTAGCCCAAGGTATGTGGGTCCATTTGAAATACTTGGAAGAGGACCAGTTGCATATAAACTAAGTTTACCCCCCAGAGTTGAGTGCCATCCATGATAGATTTCATGTATCAAACCTCAAGAGGTGTTTAACTGACGAAGCATTAGTTCTACCTTTGGAAGACTTTCAAATTAATGAACGATTACGTTTCATTGAACAACCAATTGAAATCCTCGATTACAACGTCAAGCAATTGAGGGGTAGTAGAATCCCAATTGTGAAAGTTCATTGGACTTCGAGGCATGGGCCAGAGTTCACATGGGAAAGAGAATATTTCATGAAAAACAAATATCCTCATTTGTTTACAAGCAAGTCCTGATCTGAGGTTGATAAATAAATTTCAGGACGAAATTTTTCTAACATGGGGAGACTGTGACATTCTGTCATTTTGGAGTCTCATGTTAGCATTTTATTATAGATCCTATATTTAGAAATAATATTTCTTTAGGATCTAGTTTTAGTGATTAGAATTTATCTAGATTAGCTCCCAAGTCTTATTTGAAAGATCACGCCTTGGTGGGAGATCAGATAAAGCTAACTTGTGTAATGCCAAACATTATTGAAATGCTCTAAATAAAATAAAGTTGATTATTATAAACTTCTAAATTAAAATGCAAAAGTCTCATTTATTTGTCCAAATGATTTTTAGTAAAAGGTGGGCTTATTATTATTTAAAGAAAATAACTTTTTTTTTATTTGGGTTTGGGCCTCTAGAGGCCAGCCCATTTCCTCTTTAAAAAGCCTCATATAAATACCTTTCATCTTTTGAAAACTCTCATTTTCAAAGTATTATCAGTATAAACTCTTCATCTCTCTAACCTCTCTCTAAAAGAAATCACCCTCCAGCCGATTCCCGCAAACAAGCTTCTAAAAAAATTCTATCAATCTTGAAGAATACTCAAGATTTCAAGAAAAGGTATGATCCTAGTTATCTCACCTTTTTATAAAATAACTCAAGTTTTTGTCTTCCTAAACCCGCATCTTGATCTTGAAGTTAAAAATCCTGGAGAATTAAAAGAGGGGAGATTATTCATCAAAGACATGAAAATGTCTTCAAAAAGGATAATAATCTATGATCCATGTTCTTTGAACCCCGAAGTAGGAGGAAACCTATTGCATGCGAAGTTTGAGCATGTAAGGTTATGTTTTGAAGTATGATAGAATCTTGCATGCATCTTTAATCTGATCTATCTTCCTCAAAACTCAATGGAATCGGGAATTATTCTTTCTGGAGATTAAACTTAATTTGATAGCCTAAAAATGGTGTTAAAATCCTTGAAAAATGATGAGCTTAGACTCCAAATGACTGTCACTCGAAGAGTGTGCAATCTGAATTGGGGGCTGTGTTAGCTCTCATATTCATTAATGTAAAAGTATGAAAAAGATTTCTGCAAGTGTTGACAGAAGGGTTCATTCCACAGAAGACCACAGAGGACCAACAACATAAGATGTTCAATCGTACAAGTCAAGAGTGACAGAACCTCTGTTGTCTATCACAGAGGTTCTAGAAACTGGTCCTCTGGCAACAAAAGCTTACAAGTCAAATGCAGCAGAGCCTCTGGAATAGCTCACAGAGGGTATGCGGGTTTATCTTCTGTAAAGAACCACTTCTTACTGTTTTACTTAGGTTGATTAGCTGCACGTGCCTATCACGTGACTAGGTCTGTAATCGACTTTATTTGGACGGCTTGGATGATTTCGCTTGTCTAGGTCATGTCAGAAAGGTCGTTAGGAACTAGTATTAATAGCAGCTAGGCCTTTGTAATTCAGGGTGCTTCCTGTATTGTAATCGTCTTATTTTCAATCAATTGAAAAACCTTTGAAGCTATTCTCTCGTGTTCATCATTCTCACATACTATGTGTTCTTGATTCTTACTCTGTTTGTTCTTATATTGTTTCCGCTGCACTTTGATTGTCTTAAAGATCATCCAGAGTATTTGATTGATATCAAAACTGAGTTTACAGGTCCTAACAGTAAGGGTGACAACTCTTATGTGGTCAGTGCTTACAAGATAAATTATTGCATACAATGCCCTTTTGATTGATTAGAATCTTACCAAGTATGGTAAATGAGAGTGTAGACACTCACCTTTAAGCGCTTACCTCGTAAACAACCCCTTAGATAAACTAGCAAATGTCTTCTTCAAGCAAGTCAGGTTTTATGAAAAGGTTTGTTTTGCACTGCCATGTTTTCCAGGAACAAGAGCTCGATGAAGCATTTGAATTTCTTGTTCTTGCAAGTGATGGTCTCTGGGATGTTGTACCCAATGAGGTATGTTATTGTATCAAGATCAACCACATGCCCATTTCATTCAGACTTTAACTTATCTGGGTTTTTTTATTCATCAAAAGACTCGAAAACCCATTCTTAACTGTGGCTTTTGATGTATGTTATGTAACCAAGCTTTGCCTTTAGATTCATCTGATTGTGAAATTTGTGGGTCTTTTTTATCAGGATGTTGTCTCACTTGCACAGATTGAAGACGAACCAAAGGAAGCAGCTGAAATTTGCGGGTCTTTTTTTATCTCTTATGTACTAATGAGTATATGTTTATGCATTTATGATTTATACAATCTGATCGAGTGTGAAGAAACCTAGGTAAGCATGGAAATTTAAGAACACTTATGTGTTCAATGGTTCAAGTAAGTTGAGTGATGTCGATTTATTATATGGATTCTTGATTATTGAAAGAATTAAGATTACTTTTAAAATTAGTAATTTTATCTGATCAGTAATTTTTATCTATACTACCTTATAAACCAGATTTGGTAAAAGTCTTAAATACAACCTATATTGCATAAAGTACAACTTTTGTATGCACAAAGTCTTAAAACCTCTTAATTACAACTTTAAGAACCTAAGGTACAACCACATTATGCATAAACCCTTCTCCACGCTCGGTTTGACAATTGACCGTCACATGCTCGATTGCATGTTTCCAAGACAATTGAGGCCTCCAAGACGACGATTGAGGCCTCCAGGACGACGATTGAAGCCTCCAACGTGCTCGATTGCAAGGTCTTAGTTTTGGCTCCTTTCGATTCCTACCTCCAACATGCTGATTTAGGGTTTGATTTCCTTTTATTTGGTTTCCTTTTGATTTCTCACAGATTCTTGATTGATTCTCTTTTCTTTTAGGATCTGCACTACTTCAGAGTTTCCGGCTTCGTTCCGAACTGAGATGCAATTTTTATAAGCACCAATTTTGATTGATTTCTCAAGGAGATTGATAGATAGTTCCATAATATGACATCTCATGCATAACCAAATTAGAATAAATCGATTGTTAAATTTCAACATCAAATAGATTATTGGATTGTTTCAGTTCCTTCCAAATCAATTGAATATGAAACAATCAATGGTGTAGGGTCTGGAAATTTCAAATACAAATCTTTATCCGTAATCGATATACCCCTTACATCTTTTCAAAATTTTACATCTTGCCGCATTGCACGGATACACAACTAATAACTTAATTAGTAATCACTACCAGAAAGAAACGAAGGGCACTAGGGCAGGGCAGAACCAAAAGGTGTAAGGGTGAGAGGCTGAGGACGAGATTAGATGCTAGAGTCGAGAGCGGGAGCATCGACAGATCAAGAGGCAAGAGCGTATATGAAGCAAAGCCTACTATGTATAGCATATTAAAGTGTTGGGCTTTAATGCCCTTGGGCCTCTACTGCTGTATCTCGCTCAGCTCATGATCCTAAAATTAAATTAACAATTATGAAAAATATGGAGCCACCCTAAATCAACAATTATGAACATGAGCATTATCATAGTTAAACCCTAAACCCATTTTCTGGAACAAGATTTGATAGAATCAAGAATTCATAAATCCATTAATGTTCCCCTCTAATCGTAAGAAACTGTAGAGAAATTATGCATTTGTTATGGTGGAGTGTTAAAGCATCACTACCTATTAATTTCCTTCTTACATATATATGTATCAAGAGTTACTTTTTACGTTTTTAGTATATGATTTAATCTGATTTTGATAAAATACATATGCATATAGTATTGCCCTTGTTTTCGTTGTGTATGGTAAGAAATCTCTACACTACCAATTGATAACCAGCATTTGATGGACCAAACTCTTAAATAAACATAAATTTTAAAAAGAGTTTCTAAAAATAATAGAAACCAAGTTAAAGTTAGTTCTAATTCATGCAATTTTCCCTATTGTTGAATTAATATTTTCTTTTCAATCCATTTGGTTTCGCTAGCCTCTTTATTTTTTTTTTCAATTTTATCATTTCTAACCTGTTAGAAGTAGATTAAAGATAACAAATTTTCAAAAATTTGATTATTTATTTATTAAAAAAATAAAGACATAACCAATGAAAGAGTTGAATGTTTTTATATAATTTCATTTATTCTTGCTAAGCACTTGATCATAAAGAAATTTCTTTGGGTTTTTCTATCCTTTCCCTGTTTCTCAATCCATTTGCTTCTTGGTACGCGTCACATCTTAGTTTTGGTCTAATGAAGTTGGCGATCTCTTGCTGTTGTTTGAAACCGTGATAGTTGTTTCAACCTACTCTACTTCAACGTTGCATAATATTATTTACCAAATGCCAACTTCTCGCCGGCGAAATCAACTGTATCCACCAGCTGCTGTTGCACCACCAAAACAGAAAATTGAAAGTCCGATGTAGCTAACAAGTCTCCGATCCCTCCCAGCTCCGGGCACTGTGACCACTCTGATAATCCATACGTTAGTTGAGAAACACAGCAACCATGTTCTCTTCCAACTATAAACAAATCACAACCTTTTTCCATTGCTCTCAGCAACTGCACTGTTTCTACTGCATCTTTTGCCACCTGTTGTTGAATAAAGATATCTCGTCCCTTACATTCCACACGAAACCGATCGATTATCTCCGCATCCAGTCTCTTCTCGTACATTTCTGGTGTCGGTTCCATGTCCGCACACTGCGGTTTAAGCAAAATCAGTAACAGACTGATGTGGGGGTGTTTTGCCATTCGACTACTGTATGCAAGTGCTTCTCTATCGTCTGCACCACCAAGGAACAGTTGGGTTATCCGAAACATTTTGTTTCGTCCCGTTAACACAGATTTAGGTCCTCCAATCTGACCTCGGTCCACGAGTATGCCTATCGAACATGGTGCTTTCTCCATGATTTTACAGTTTACTGTTCTAATGCCAGGAAATGTAGCTTCAATACTTCCATCAATAGCCCAACGCTTGTGAAATGGGACAATTACAATGTTAGCACACTTGTTAATTGCGATTGTGAAGATATCTTCATGCATGCTACCGTATGGTGCCATTGCGATAAAGTGTTCGATCACAACGGACCCTTTTTTACGTTCAATGAAGTAATTGTAGGCTTTTATAATCTGTAACATTCGAGTTTGGGCTGACGGGATATCTTTGACTTCTGAGCTTGGGACTAAAATGGCAGATGCTCGACCTTCGAGCGGTTGAAGATTCATTGAGATAACTTCTATACGTTGATGTCGTGTGGGATTTGATGCTTCTAAGAGGTTTATGATCGATGAAACATTCTCTTCATTATGAATGCAAACCACCATTCGAAGATAATCGTCTGGTTCGCATTCTAAGATGCTGTTTCTCTTGTATGTCCGGTATCTTGTCGATGGATCATAGAAATGTCCTAGCAGAAGCCTTGTACTTCCTGTTACTATTAGCATGTTGAGTATAAGAAGCGAGTATGCTTGCTCTGTTACAGCCTGCATATGGCAACAAAAATATAGATCATTCAGGACTTTCTTAATAGGGTATTTAATGTAATTTTAAGTTTATATTAACAAAGGCGTCACTACATGATTTTAGAACAAAAAATGTAACCTAACAGAGTCTATCAACGAATTTGAGCAATTTAATGGAACGCAGAAAGTAAATCGTTCAATTACGTTTATTGTAAACACGATTGAAAAATGTTATATATAAAAATGTCAAATATGGCAATTTCAAAAATACCTCACATAAAAAGAGTAATATTATGATTTATTTTTTTATCCTATTACTATTTATTATGTTGCCTAACTAGAAATTGTTAGGTCCTCTAACTTTATTTATTCTAACAACATACTCTATCGTTGTTAAATAAGACGAGGGTCTTCCATACTATAAACTGAAGTCACTTTAAGTACTCTATTACGGCATCGAATTTTGTCTGAATTTTTAGCCTAAGTAAACACTACAATAAATTTAAGTTTATACGATGTCAAAAATGTTAAAACGTCCTCATACACTCTTTTATAAGACGTAATTAATAGAACCAAACAATAAACCGTCTTATGTAAAGGTGTAAAAGTTTATCGGATGTTTTTTTTAACGTCGTAACAAGTTTTTTAAGACACTATTTAAAAAAGCGTCTTATAAAAACAGTTTGCTGAAAAAAGATGTGTTTATAGCACGCTTCTCAAAACTTCTCCTATAAAATAGCTTATATGACAATTTGAATTGAAAGTGTTCTAAAAGTTTGTTAAGATGTTAAAAACATCCTATAAATCTATTTACAACTCATGTAGATAAGACTTATTGTTTTGTCTTTAAAAACTTAAATCCTAGAAATCGGTCTATTAGGACACTTAGTATTTGACGTCCTATAAAACCGATTTTATTGTAGTGATATATAGCGAATGATTTGTTTTTTAGGACTTGGAGTGGGGCATACTTCGTTAGATCGCATAAACGAATAGGCAGCAACGTCAATGATGCCTTTGGTACACATGATCATTGCAAAATGAAAAGCATCCGGCAATGAAACATTGAAATACATGGCCAAAAGGAAGTTGCAGGTGAACTTGGCCAAGTATGCTATGGAAATGACCACCTCAGTGATCAAAGAAGCAACCACTTTATCACCAACAAGTGAATTCAAATTCACCTTAAATGCAGAGATCGCAAACTTGGCAGGAACCAAGATGACGGTCGCCATCCAATCGATTCGGTTCACCAATGCCAAACCAAAGGGCGGTCCGTCAGGCACACATATACCCATGGTGAACCCTCCAAATTCAGCAGCTTGACCTAAGCACTCTGCTAGAAACCCACATAACAAAAGTGCCACGAGAACCACTAGAAACTGACTCTCTTTTATCTGCTGGCCTTCAGGAATCCTTTTGGCCATCCACAGCACAAATGGGCGAAGTACGTAGATAATGGAGAGCAGAAAACAAGCAATCCACAAGATGTTGTTCAGTGGCTTCCAGTCTGATCTTTCTAAAGCTACACCAATTGTGCTCAATGCTAAAGCTGTAACATAACTGCAGACATCAGTAACCAAAGCTGTGCTGCAAGATAATCGACCAAGATCGCAATTTAACAAGTTTAAGTCGGAAAGGGTGTTGGTGACTGCTGGGAATGTTGTCAATGAGGTTAAAGCTGCCACAAAAGGCAGAGTCTTGAAGCTAAACTCGTCTATGGTAACCATATTAGTCAGTGGCATCAAACACAAGCAGCAAACAACATAGGGCACGAAAAAAGACGTGCAACCCATGAGCACCATATGTCTTTGCACACTCTTCAAGATATTGGTGTCGATTTGAACTCCGACGACAAAAACATGCAGCAGGAAGCCAAAGTTGGCGACGGTGTCGAGCACCAACTTGCCGGATTCGGGGAACAACTGGTTGAGGAGATTCTTGTCGAGTCTTACGAACCAGATGAACACAATACAACCCTGGAAGAATTCAATTGGGATGATGATCAGAAACGTTTTGTTTTGAGATTTGAGAAACGAAAGCATGCATGCATTTTAGAAATTGATCGATCTTACGATAAGTTGGCAAGAGAGAATACTTTGTCGAAGGGGTTTGAGGAAGAAGAAGAAGGTATGGGTGACGAAGAAGATGATACTGAGCTGAAGCATCAAAAGGGGTAAACTGAAGGCTGAAACATCACATCCAAACCAAGAACATCCCATAGAATTGGTCATATGCAGGTATTGGCAAATCATTTGCTCTGGCTCGTTAACTCCAGGGACGTAGCCCTCCGATGATACGATGGCCGGGAAATGAGCCATTTTTTCGTGTAAAATGAGATAAAAATCAACAATTTTGACACAAAACCATAATGGGGAAAGTACGAATGAGACAAGAATTGCAGAAGGGTATGGAGAAGCAAGAGAGGAGGATGATTGTTGATCAACTATTGGCTAGGCTAAAATCATGGGTATCCATATGTATTATATATAAAATTTCAATCATTTTTTAACTATATTTTTGGCTACATATCCGATCTTTTGCGAACGGTAAAGTTGTAAATTGTTTTAGAGTGTTCTTTTAAATGCAAATATAATCCGACAAGCTATCGTTTTCCTTTATAGATTCTTTTAAGGGTAAATTTACATGAAAAATAGTATGTATTAAATTGATTTTTATTTTGATTAAGTACTTCTAAAATTTTTATTTTATTATTTATGTTATAAAGTTTTAAACATTTTAGTACTCAGGTAATCGATTAAAGCATTAACTAGTTATCATGTTTATGTGACAAGTGATGTGATGTCCAACTCAGTACTATTTGCTGACGTGGTTAGTGACATGAATTTTTTTTAATCTAACATTAGTTCTTTTTTTTAATCTAAAATTAGTTTTCAACCGGTTAAACAAATACTTAAATGTTTAAAACTTAAATCTTAGATACCAAAATGCAAGTTTTAAAAATACGTTACCCAAAATATGAATTAAATTAAAGTACGTTATATTTTCATGAAATTTATCGATTTTTTAACCCTGGTACTTAAACTAATTTGCACACTAATCTCATTAGTTCTATATATAATAGTCACGAAAATCGACAACCACCGTAAGATGACTAGAATTGGTGAGGCCAGACTGTCGGTCTTATTTTGAAACAATCTCTCTGCCGAATGGGATACACAAGTTCTTTTTGAAACCGCATAATTTTTAATACTTTTTTAAACTACTTAATTTCATTTTTCTTTCTTTTTTCTTTTTTTTAAAATAAATCAGATTGATCCCAAATAATGTTGTGTACATTAACTATTTGGGTAAAAAATGACAAAGTCACGACTGACATAAGAAACTTACGACCAAGTATATATTGTAGATACAAACTAACGACCAGAGATCTTGAGACTAACGGTCGTCATTATTGATGATAATCGTACGACCTTATTAGCAACTAAAGATATTCATATTGTTTGTCGTCAAATAAATAACGATGATCATACGTGTTGGGTGTAAAATGTTGTATTCAAGTCCTCAAGCTTATTGTGTTTTACATGCTTTGTAGTTAGTTTGTTCTTTGTAATTAGTTGGTATAAATAGTGTTAGTTTTGTTAGTTGGTAGTTGTAACATAATGCATAAAACAGTTGAGAGATTCCGTGTAGTTTCTGTGTATATGAGATATTGAGAGAGATCAAGATTACACCGTATAATCTTGAATATCAATATATATGCCGACTCTTCCAAATCAATTTGTGTTCTTGATATTGTGATTAAATTGTGTTATAGACTTGAAACTAGGATCATCAATTGGTATAAGAGCAAACAGATCAATCTTGAATGGTTTTGGAATCTATTTGGAAGTTGAATTCTTGAATTTCTTGATTCGAACTTTCTGTTTTTGTTCATATTATTTTTTGATCGAATTGGGTGATTTTAATCCGTTTTTTTTTGGTGAAATTGAATGTGTTAAAACTGTCTCTGTGTGGTTTTTGCACAAATCCGTGCAAGAAATTTCAATAATTTTGAGATTTTTCGGTGTTTTGGTGGATTTCTTGGAAATTTATGTTCAAAGTTCTTCTCATCGTTTGTTGAATATTCAACGAGCGATAAGAGTATCTTCATCGCCTATTGAATCTGACTTTGAGGTCTCATCACTCAAGTTGAAGTTGAAATTTCATCTCCTAAAGTGATTAGTTTGCTTAACAGTCTTCATCACTCCTTTGGCAGGCGATAACAGATTTTATCGCTCAAAGTATTGTATTCATCGCTCAAGGCACTATATTCATCGCTCAAGTTCTTGTTGGGTACTGTCTAAGTGTTGAACTTCATCGCTCAAGGGATAGGCAATAAGGACTTCATCGCTTAACACTTGACCGGATAGTGATTTATGCTTCATCGCTCAAAGCTTGGCTGATAACCTTTCTTCATCAACCAAAGCTTAGCTGATAACCCTTTTATCTCCTATTTTGTTGTCTGATAACCTTGTTTATCGCACACTGAGTTACCCGATAACACTCCTCATCGCCCAAACCTGTCCGATAATCTTTGGCGAGCGATAACCTTTGTTGTTCGATAATATTTGGTGTCCGATAACCCTTTGGTGAGCGATAACCTGTTGTTTCCAATAACACTTTTGAGCAATAACCAAGTGATAACCACGTTTTTTTTCTCCGATAACCTTGGTGTCTTGATTGAGCGATAAGCAAACAGTATGAGATTTTGTTTAAGTTTCAAGAATTCTTTCTGCCTTTCAAAACCAATTCAAGATAATTTTCTAAATGATCAGTTCAAGTCTGCTTTAAAATGTCTAAAGATATGTTAAGCATCAGGTCAGATTCCAAGTGTTAGCTCTCATTTTCTTAAATGTAAAAGTATAGAAAAAGTAAACTGCGAGTTTTGACAGAAGATGATCTGTCACAGAAGACCACAGAGGACCAACA